ACCCATGAAAGCGACTCATCTGATGAACTCGTTCTCGTAATTGAACAAGTGCACTCACTTTCATCGAAACGTCATACAGCTGTAATGAATATCCAGGACAAATATGTGGAGTTCCAATTGGACAATGGATCTACAGCTAATATCTTACCTGCTCATGTGTACGTGCGTCTCACAGCTGACAAGGAATTTCAGAATCTGAAGAAAACTGATGTTACCCTACAGATGTACAACAAAACTGAAACTAAAGCCTTGGGCACCATCAGGATGTCTGTTCGAAATCCGTGCAATCGAAAAAAGTACAATCTAGAATTCGTCATTGTACCAGGCCAAGAACTACATTGTATTTTGGGTAAACGAGCTATTGAAGGAATGGAACTTATTACTGTGCATACAGACAAATTCCTCACAAAGACACAAGTTCAGAATGACGTCATTTCGCAGATTGACATTAAAGAAGAAATTAATGAGAAGTATGCAAATGTGTTCAAGGATCTAGGAAAACTGGACGGTAAGCTTCATTTGGAGGTCAAGGACAGTGTGCGACCTGTACAGTTACCGCCTCGGAAAATTCCATTAGCCTTGAAACCAAAAGTGAAAGAAGAGCTAAACAGACTGGAGAAGTTAGGAGTCATTAAACCAGTAGACACACCGACTGACTGGGTATCTGCCTTAGTGGTGGCTCCTAAACGCAATGGTGACATTCGCCTATGTATTGATCCGAAACCCCTCAACGAGGCATTAATGCGGAACCATTACCCAACACCTACTATTGAGGATATTTTACCTGACTTGCATCAAGCTCGTATTTTCTCCATTGTTGACGCAAAAGATGGGTTTTGGCACATTGAGCTCGACAGTGAAAGCAGCTATCTAACTACATTTGCTACACCATGGGGCAAATATCGCTGGTTGAGGATGCCATTTGGAATCTCGGTAGCACCTGAGGAGTTCCAAAGGAGAATGGACGACGCCTTAAGTGGTATTCCAGGCATCAGACCTATACATGATGATGTGCTAATTTATGGCTGTGGTGAGACAGACGAAGAAGCTGAAAGGGACCATGATGTGAAATTTCGAGCCTTAATGCAGAGATGCATGGAGAGAAACATAAGGCTTAACCAGAGTAAGATGAAACTTAAGCTCACATCAGTTACTTATCTGGGATATGTGATCAGCAAGGATGGGTTGAGTGTTGACCCACAGAAACTCAAGGCGATACATGAGATGCCTACCCCAGAAGACAAGGCAGGAATTCAGAGATTATTGGGAATGACAAATTTTGTGCAACGTTTTGCACCGCAGTTGTCCGAGATAACAAGTCCACTTAGAGATCTTCTAAAAGCAGAGACTCACTTTGCATGGGATCCGGATATCCATGGACAAGCACTTGACAAGGTCAAGGACACATTATCTCGTGCACCTGTTCTCAAATTTTTTGATGCCAAGAAGAAACTGACTTTGCAGTGTGATGCTTCTTCTACTGGACTAGGCGCATGCCTTATGCAAGAAAATCATCCTATCGCATATGCTTCACGTTCGCTGACAGCCACCGAACAAAATTATGCACAGATAGAAAAAGAGACTTTAGCCGCAGTGTTTGGCATGGAACATTTCGAGAATTACACATATGGACGGCATGTTAATATACAGTCTGACCATAAACCCCTGGAAATCATTGTACGTAAAAACCTTCACAGTGCACCCAAGCGTCTTCAGCGAATGCTATTAAGACTGCAGAAATTTGACTACAGCATTGAGTACAAAAAGGGCACAGAGATGTATTTTGCTGACACCTTAAGTAGGGCCTATCTTATCACTGATTCTGATTCAGTTGAGGAGAACATGCATGACATACACAGCATCAACCACCGCACCTACTTAGCAATATCTGAGGAACGATATTCACAGATAAAGGAAGCTACAGAAAGGGATGACTCTCTACAGTTATTGAAGAAGATCATACTTGAGGGATGGCCTGATTCGTCAAAGGAAGTCCACCCTGATATACAAGTGTATTTTCCATTTAGAGAGGAGTTAGTCGTTCAAAATGGTGTCATCTACAAGGCCGAGCGAGTTGTTGTACCTAAATCTATCACACAAAGTATAGTGCAGCGTATACATAACTCTCATATTGGTATCCAAGGGTGTATCCGTCGTGCCCAGGACTATGTCTACTGGCCAAATATGTCGAAGGACATTGAATCGTACATTGGTCAATGTGCTGCATGTAATACTTACCAGGATGATCAACAGAAGGAACCTATGATCAGCCATGAGATTCCTGCTCGTCCGTGGCAAACCATAGGATGTGATCTTTTTGAATGTGAAGGCAAAGATTACCTCATACTCGCAGACTATTATTCAGATTACTTTGAGGTGGAAAGACTTCATAGTAAAACAGGAAGTTCGATCATTCGCATGATGAAATCGCAATTCGCACGTCATGGAATTCCAGATCGAGTAATATCAGACAATGGACCGCCATTTGGAAGCCGGGAGTTTGCAGAGTTCAGTAAAAGCTACGAATTTGAGCACGTTACATCATCGCCCAGATATGCGCAATCTAATGGCAAGGCGGAGAACTCTGTAAAGATTGCCAAACGACTTATTCACAAGTGTGTAATGGACGGAAAAGATCCATTCTTGGCGCTCCTGGATCTACGCAATACGCCTACTCAAGGAATAGGCTACTCACCTGCACAACGAATCTTTGGTAGACGCACTAAGACACTATTACCAGTAGCGGAACATCTACTCAGACCACGTTATGCTGACCGCACCAGGGAAAAACTCTTTGAACGCAAGGAACGTCAGACATACTACTATAATCGAGGAGCTAAGGAACTAAAACCCTTATCAGAAGGAGATATTGTTCGCATCAGACCTACAGGAAATGAAAAAGGATGGAAAAAAGCATTTGTTCAGGAACGGAGTGATGTCAGATCGTACAAAGTGAGAACTGAGGATGGACATGTATACAGACGCAATCGACGTCATCTCCGATTTAGTCGAGAACCATTCCGTCCTGATCATGAAAATTCAGAGCCTGAAGCGCTGACTGACCAATCACAGCACAATGATGATCCAGTTTCTACAATAGGCAGTAGTGAACCAAGTCCAGCTCCACCAATATCAGAGCTACGCAATACATTAGATTCCGCACCTGTTCAGTGTCCAAAGCAACCAGTCTCTTCAAGTCCGATGAAGACACACAGTGGTCGTGTAGTTGTAAAACCAATGCGTTATCGTGATGTGTAGGACATAGGTAGATAGTGAAAGAGGTAACAATAACTCCTCGTCTACCTATTTCTAAGTTTAGCTTAGAACTTTATGTTAATCATTGCATTGTACTTGTTGAGTTAAGACTGTTTGTATGTTTAGTTTGCATAGGAAGACTGTGTTAAGGGCATAATAATCCCTAGTCTCCCTAACAGGGCAAATAGCCTTGCATTTGATTATTTGGTTGTCAGTCTTGATTGTCATTAATCAAATCTTAATTTCTCATTCTATGATGTAATGATGCATGTTGAATGTATAACAATGTTTTTGTTTAAAGTTTAATAGTTATTTGATCATGGTCTTCAAACACTGAAATGGACAATAATTCAAAGACGGTAAAGTTTCGGTATTAGCAGAAATCTGTAAACTTAACATTTTAAAGAAAGGGGGATGTAACAGTATTCTGTATGAATTAATGACTACTCCCTAATTATCACTATCATTGTACAATAACACCTCCCCTTGTCACGTGGTTAATAAAGTGGACGCCATGCCAGAAAGCCATGCTTGTTTTTACTTCAACTTGTAGCATCTTCTATTGATTCAGTACATCGTGAAACACAGCCCTCGTAGCAATATATCTTTATCACCTGCATATGGAGTTTATGTCTATGTACGTCTCTAAACGAGACAAGCTTTTAACAAATAAGCTGATATTATACGGGTATCAAAATCCCTGTTTAAAATCTGCATTTATCAAATTCTATGGTTGATACAATGATCGTGTAAGGAAATACAGTCTATAAATGTTGACTGAATTTTTTCATATAATTTTAAGACCATTATTTGCGAGACATTACATAGACATACTAGTACTGAATTGTCTATATATTTTTCCGTCTCCCCGAACATGACAAGGAGCACATGGCGATTGTGATCAATCGAAAGGAGATACTTATTCTTCTATGGCAAGATCATTTTCATCGTCTAAATTGTTTTAATTCAAGTAGGTGTAGATACAATATACAGAATAAAAATATACATACATGTGATTACCTTTATACTTTCCAGTATAATTTTACAATATTAAGTTCACTGAAGCTAGTTTTTTGCGCACAATTATAACCTTTTATAAACCGTATCATATCCATATTAAAATAACACAAACACCAGGTTTGGTGGATAAATTTGTCATTTATTATACGTACATGTAAAAATAATGACACATAATTAAAAGATGAATTAGATAAAGAGCTAGCTAGGAGATCAATCTTACACATTGCATCAGTGAAAAAGTTATATGTAAAGTTTTATACAAAGCATTATTTGATCTCCCTAACCTACTAAATTACATTTAGAAAAACCAAATTAAAAACCCACTATCCAAAAAATAACAATGAGCAAAAATGGTGACAGACAAAAAATATCCAAAGTACAAGCATGCAAAAGAAACGATAATTATTCTACTAAAATTAATAAAAGTACTGTAAACTCATTTACTGCGTTACTGAACTTATACAATTCTAAATAAAGAACACAGCAAGAACAATGCATACAACAATTTATCGGTTAAGCTAGATTTTAAAACATATGTAAATCTACATATTCTATATGGCTAAAAGAAAAAATAACATTTTTTATAGCCACTAACTTACTGAGTATCATTCATTTTCTTTTTATTTTCCCAAAATGGAGGATGAAGATTATTATGTAAAGTCTACTTGCAGAAATTCTTCAAAATTGTTGTTACATTTCAATGAACAGACACAAGTTACTTGAATTCAAGATTAATTCAAGTGACAGTTTGATATGTTGTTTATATATTGACTGTGTCCATATCACTCTTACGAATCGTCGGAGCTTGGGCAGATTCATGTTTACGTGGCATATCTCTGAGGTTTTTATCCACAGAGCCCACGAACTCCAGAGTACTTCGTTTGTCCTCGTACTTCTTAAAGAAAGCCTCTCCATGACCGGCCGTGTCTTTGGTGTACCAATACCTCCCACATTTTGATCGATAGTAAATTCTTCCTTTATACTTCTTCACTTCCGGTGCTTCCTTTTTGATTTTTTTCAACATTTTGCTTCCATCGGGGTCATCATCATCTATGAAAACATGCATTTTGCATTCAAAGTTTTAGGAAACAAAATGGTATAAGATTCAACATGTGTACGTTACTTATATTGACAGTAACAAAAGGTTTTTTAAAACATTGTTTTTTCTAGAATGAGTTTTAAGATGATAAATTTACTCAAACATGAATTAAAAAAAAAAAAAAAACTCTGACGCAATGAAAAAATATCACAGGGTTGTAAAATCTTTCGAGATAGGTGTTCATAAAAAAACCATTGGCTTAAAAATACTATTACAGACAATTTTACCCGGCCCAAAACTTACCATCATCGCCTCCACTTCCATTTCCACCTCCTCCCCTACTTCCTCCCCAACCCCCTCTTCCGGATACACCAGATGGCTCTGAACTTCTGTGCCGTTCGGAATGTGAACCTCTGTGTTGCCTTCCCTGCAGAACAACGTTCTTAAATTCGCGGAAGTCTTCCCAGGGGCAGATTGATGGATTCAGCTCCTTTGCTTTTAGAAAACTCTCTTGGGCCCTGGAGTCATTTCCATTTACAATGTCACACTGGCTTGATCCAAGATATGCCACTGTAAACGTAGTGGATATCTCCAAGGCTTTTGTTGCACCAGTGATACCACGGTTCTCCCCTTTCCCCGTTTGATTTCCCTAGACTCACGGCTTTTTCAAGATATTGGCGCGCCTTATCATTTTCATTCTGATGATAACATTGGGTCCCAAGCTCACCCCAGGCTTCTGCGCAGTTAGGAAATTTGTTAACAGTGGAAATAAGAACCGATTTTACCCGAGCCCCGTTACCATAGATATTCTCCAAATGGGCCTCAGCCAAGTATTTTCTGGGTGGTCTAGTTACCCTCACAGCGGTTTCGAAATCTGCTTTCGCTTTGTCGTTTTCTCCTATTATACTGTAAGCACGACCACGCCAAGTTAGAGCTGTATAATCGTTTGGATGCTGCGTCAGATATTGAGTAAAACACGGCACAGATCCGGCTTTGTTGCAGCTAGAGAAAACCGAGATTCCTTGAGCCAAGACAGACATTACTTTATACGTTCAACAGAACCTAAAATGGGAATCCCTTATCTAGTTTCCTAAAATAAATCCATGTCATCTTTTATAACAAAAGTAAATACAATAAAGTCTATTTACAGATTAAAAATCAATTTGTATTAAAGCTATCATTATTGGATGGCCGAATGTAACTGTTATTCGCGTAGTAAATGTTCTTTTGTGTTGGCATATTAGTACATCGTGCATGCAAGATATAATGTAACCATATCAAAAATATGTCGATAAAAACTGTACATGCAAGATGATCACATTCACTTGCAAGGTGCTAATATTTTAAGGGAATCTGTTCTTAATATGGGTAAATCTAATTTTTTAACGCCAGCATACCAGACATCATTTTATTACAGTAATATGCAACATGTGGTTCTTAATAATTATTATACCCCCCGCTTGAAAAGCGGGAGGGTATATAGTAATCGTTAATTCCGTCCGTCCGTCTGTACGTCCGTCCGTCCTTCTGTCCGTCTGTTACACTTTTGGGTACCAATCTCTTATCCGCAACTCCTCTCATACCATGGAATGGAATTTGATGAAACTTTCAGAGAATCTTTATTGCATATTGCCATTGTGCACCTCCTATTTTACTTTTTGATCCGACACTTATTTTGGGTTTCCCGGCCACAGCAAAACATGGACTTTGCAATTATAGCTATATGGAAGCGGGGGGCATCATTTAGTGAGCTCATCGCTCACAATTCCTCTAGTTTATGTAAGCATGCGATATTATTTCGCATTGGACAAGTACATATACATTTTTAAAATGAGACTAAATCTTGAATATACAGTTTAGTCTATTATTTTATCTCTAGAATTTATTGAAATGCATGTGTGTATTCTTGCCGTTGATTGACTAATATTTCCATTTCTAATTTTTTTCTCTCTGTGATAACTGTTTGAAAGTTGGGGGAAATTATTTCTTGATAATTCTGCCGGCATGTAAATTAGGCAGGTCGATAAGTCATAAGCTAAGGAGGCCTGATACGCATGCAAATCTCGTGCGCATCTGTCTCTGTGTCTGACGCTAAGGAGGCCAAATATGCATGAAAATCTCGTGCGGCTGCCTTTGTGTTTGACGTCAGTGTGCGAGGACTATATTGAAATTGGCATGGAAGTCCTTGTGTAATTTAAATCTATTAGTCTACATTTTTAATTTCTAAGTCTACAATTTTATTTCACAATGAAATGGAAATATAAGGAATCACTGTCTAGTTTTGAGAGTATGCCAGGGACATCAACAATAGTGGGAAACATGGGATAATTTTAGCATAACGGGCTTCCGTGTTTCCCACTATTGTTGATGCCCTGGCATACTCTCAAAACTAGACAGTGATTCCTTAAGAATATAGCAGCATATACGATATGTACGAAAACCTACAAGGGTCAAATTAGAAAATGAAGAAAAAAAAAAATTAAGTCGTAATAACGACTTTTTATCTCGTAATAACGACTTTTTATCTCGCTATTATGACTTTTATCTCGTTACTGTGGTTTCATTAATATTCGTGGGCATCAATTTTCGTGGATTTAGTAAAAATCACAGTTTCGTAAATACGTAAATTCGTGGATAATGGTCCTCACAGACAAAAAAGTGTCTATATTTTCATTTTTTTTCTTTCGTCGTTATGCATTAGCGGGAACATTGTGCCATTTACAATGTTAGGATACGTAGATATATTTTAAGAAATTTAAATTACTAACAGGAGAAAACTCTTTATCTATTTATTTATTTATCCCCATTGGCTTTTCAAAAGTCGGAACCTTCAACAGTGAATTATTCCTTTAATTCGCAAGTGTGGAATACGGATAAAAATTATGATCGCAAGTGTGGAAAACGGACGTAATTAAGTTGCAAGAGGATATTAAAAGTAACAACAATTAGTTTTATTTCAATTCACAAAATGGCGTTAGTTACTTATTTTTACATGCACGACGTGTTTCGGGACTTGACAAAGACATCCAGACCCCTTGTTTGAAGATCTCGGAACAAACACATTCACGTGCGATCATGCGCGATGGGTACAACATCCGCTTAAACAAGTAATACGAACGACAATAATTCAGCCATGAATGACAGGACTTTCGCAGCATACAATACATGTATACTCATTACCTCATGTATAACAAAAATATGTTTCTAAGCAAACATAAAATTCAAATAGCATTAAATTGTGTTGATAATTTGTATGAATTTAGTATGTTTTTAACGGCAGAGATTAATAAATTATCTCTATCAGATTTTTTGTGTAACGGTAATTTGTTGTTTTCACTGTACAGGTGATAATTGGGGTTTGTATGGCACGCCGATTGGTTCAAAATTATTTTCTGCACAACGATCACGATTTTATACACAAGCTAGAAGAAAAATATACACGAGTAGAATAAAAATGCACGTATCGGTAAAAATTGCACATAGTTTAAAAGATTTTTACACAAACATAACGAAAAATACACGAATCCGAATTTTTTTACTCGATTAAAGGGTTTAATATGCATAAACAAAAATCGAAAATTGCACGAGCAGAGGAAACTAAAAATTACACAAACAATTTTACTGCGCATACAGCTGCGCATATCATTACTATGCACATAGAATATTCATAGTGTTCTTGGTTTTCTGTACTCTTTATCTCATCACGTATGCTAAGCTGAATGTTATCGAGAATGGAAGTTGCTTTTTTACAATCCGATTTCGAATGAAGTGTTTCCATCTGATCTATGCGAGAGTATTTAAAAGCTTTTTGAAAATACTATGAATTTCTTATATTGACCGAGGTCAAGGATGTATTATATGATGCCGGACAAAAATTGTAACAAGAAGGAATCGGTACATTATTTAGTGCTACAATGCGGGGTTAAAAAAAAGTACCATTCAGTATGATGCACTCGACTCCAAACTAAAAGTACCTAACGATGAACTACAGTACGGCTGACAAGGCTCTTGATTTAAAAAAATCATTTGAGGAGATTTTTTCCCCATTTCGGAATAGGAAATTAAATATTCAGTTGGCTGGATATATACAAATGTGCACATTTTAAATTTAAAAAGTGAGGATTACCTTAGATGTACACAACGTATTTTTAATGTCAAACATAAAAATATTTTATTTCTATTTACATATGTATCCAAACTTATGAAATATCCGATATCAATTTTGGTTGGATATCTGTAGCCTACTTTTTGTTATGATTTTTTCCATGATATTTCATATTTTCAGTTATAAACTTCGAAATAAAAACAAGATATTTCTTGTAAGCGTTGCCCTCATTCGCAATGGTGATTACTTGATAAATGTTTTCATTTTTAATAAAAAGGACCAGATATACTTATATACTCTATGTACATGCGCTTTTGTTTTTTGTTAATTAAATTTGTCCAAATGAAATAACAAAACTCTACTCAAATAATCCTGGCTATGGAAAAAACACATGATCAGTGGCGGACCTGGCTCTTGGATCGATTGGAGTCCCAGTATAAATTTATTTAAGTTTCAAGTCGTTGGACCATAATGACACACCAAGACTTTTAAAACATTGCTAAATACATCTACATACAATGTCATAAATAAAATGGGAATGGATACTGCAGTTTGATAATAAATGAAAAGAATATAAATCTTGTTTTATCATTCTTGAAAAATGCAAATAAATCATGTTCCAAATACAGCACAATTTTTGCAAATATTTTCAAAGAAAACAAATTCTCTTTACATTTAGAATTCGTATTCATAAAATTTTAATAATTTATTATTTCCCAAACACTAAATTTAAGTTTTTTGAAATAACACTTTTCAACCTAAATCTATGGCCATTATAACAAGAACATGACTGTATAATCATAAAATGAAATTAATCGGCAAACGGGCCTGTAGAAGTCCCCCCTCCTCCCTACTTTTTTCTGAGTATTATAGACTTTTCAACAGTAAATATTCCTTATATCCTGGTTGACCCCCTAACCTTCAATTTTTAAATGTTGTTAGGTCGAGCCCAAATTCCAGGATATGAACGGTAAATTACAATATTTATCGTTATAGTTTTAGGTTGAATTGCACTCCTGATTTCGATCGACTACTTCATGTACGCTTAAATTCATAGAAAAATAGTTCAGCTAGTAGCATCAGGAGGGGCATGTCCCTCCCCCTTTTCGTTTTTTTTTTCTTTGGCAAACATAACCTTTTTCTATCGTAAATATCCACTGAAAAGCCTCATCCCCTTTTTTGTTTGGTAGTTTAAATCTAAGTAATATATGCTTATGTGTTTCGAAAAGAAGGTGGACTATTGAAGGTGCCTCACTACCTCAACGAAATAGGATTTTCTAGTTTGGACACCCCCCCCCCCCCCCACCTTTTTTTTCGCTTTACATGCAATTAGACTTTGCAGGTAATTTGTTCAAAAAATCTAACCCCCTCCCCACTATTAAAAGTGATGCTATACCGATATTATATGTGTCTGTATATCGTAATTTTAAATTGTTTTAACTCCTTTATATGCATTTTACCTATTCAAAGCAAATTCGATAAAACATTATATATTAAGCTTAAATTCACATAACTAAAACGACTACAATTTACATACATGTACAATTTTCTACATTTACATGGATATTTATGAAATTACTACACATTGTTCAAAATTAAAGACTACATGTTCTACTTTGTCACATACATAATTATATAAAAAAAATTAATAATTATATTCGATCGTTTCAATATAAAACTTAAAGTTGCGCAATTATTTGCCTTATTTTTATTTTTTACTGTATATTTCATAAAGTTTTCTGTCAAATTCCACAACCCAGATGATCGCAACAATGCTTCAAAATCTCTGTATGAATTGTTAGTAATCATTAATCAAAAGGCATTATTGATGTGTCAAATAACTATAAATCGATTAGCGTACAGGTGTCTTTCATTCCTTCACCAGCAGGGAGGGTTCTCTCTTGTGAAAAGGTCACGCATCCACATCCTTAATTATTACCGACGTACACACAGTGGGTGGTGGAGGAGAAGAGTTTGATTTGTTGTTAACTGTCCTGTATTACATCACATGCTGTTTTTATTAATTTTATGAAGACCTTTACTATATCAATGTTTTACACTTTCAAAAGAAATTGCTATATAGACAATGATAGAGGAATGACACAATTTAAAAATCTAATAATTAAACACACATCTGGTAATATGCATCCCTTTTACGTTATGTATACATGTGTAGAATATTTTTAATCGGGGGTGTTCATATTTTAATATTTAAGATTGTGTGTAAATTTATACATGCATAAAACACATTGTACATATTCTTGAGAGTCTAGCGAATTCTAAAAGACTGAATCCTTTTTAAGAAGATTAAATAAATATTACTAACACGTTACTCATCAGGGGCGGATCCAGCAATTTTTGAAAGGGGGGGTTCCAGGGTTTTGTCCCTCTTACCCCCCCCCCCTTACACACTCTCAGGCAAAGATTCACACACACATGTATGGAAAAATACAAAATTGTGGAAAATATCTTTGTTCTACGTCCTTTTTTTCTTTGAAAAGGTACCCCAAGTCCGTATAAGAAAAATTAACACATTTAAAAAACTACTGAAGCCTTAGAATTGAATGGATTTGCAGCATTTCCGAAGAGTAGAATGGATTTTCTTAAAGAATTTGAAAATCCTTTTTGGGTTGGGTATAAAACAATGAATTAAATTTTAGTTCCTTCATAAGATTTAATTTAAAAAAAAGCGGCACCTTATTGTATATAGCCAACACAGCCAAATTAAGATCGCGGGAATCTAATATCAATTTAACCTCGCATGTTACATATTATATATAAGATATATAAAAATAAGTAGAATATTTTCTACCATTCACTCACTAATGTAATTGTGAAGGTGAATGGAAAAACTAAATGTGTGAGAATCTATCTATTCAATACGTGTGTATATCTAAGTTAGACGTACAAATACTTATTCTCGGGAAACGTTTTATCCCCCTTCTTTCTCTCTCTTTCTCCACTTGGGAAAAATAAAGGGGGGTTCCAACCCCCGGACCCCCCCCCCCCTCTGGATCCGCCAATGCTCATCCTTAAGGATAAATTTATAGGTTTATGTTTCAAGCATCCAAGCCACCCTGAGCTGTTCTCTAATGAATATTAATGAAATGTGCGCAATGAGGATGCGTCGTATATTATGTCGATGTTGTATTCTCACTCGTGCAGTTTTCGTTTTTATGTTTGTGTAATTTTCTCGTTATATCGTGTAAATATTTTGTTGATTGTGTAGTTTTTCTGTAGTATGTGTAAATTTCAATAACTTTGTGTATACTTTCCTCACTTTGTGTAAGTTTTTACTTACTCGTGTAATTTTTGTTTAAGGTCGTGCAGAAAATAATTTTGAACCAATCGGCGTGCCATAGGTTTGGACACTTAAATTGTTTGAGAAAACAATTTAACACATTTACGCCTGATTATCAGCCTATGGCATTGGGGGGTATATAGCTGATTGGTATATGGGTTTGTTCCCATCTCGCCTTAACTGTAAAATTTAGTATTCCCATTTCGCCTTAGTAAGCTCTCAGGTGAATGAAGGTGATGGAGATTTAATATATTTATAATAAAGTATTTTTGGTATTATACACATATAATTTCATGCACAGTATTCATAAATCTCCATTAATTGTTAAATTCAATCTAAAAATGTTTATCATTTTAATTTTTATGTCAACCTAGTAATAATATTTTCAAATACTAAAATTCCCATTTCGACTTAGTGCTTTTTAACTTTTTCTTACCTGTATTTCACTGTTAAGGCGAAATGGGAACACACCGGTATATGCACTGCGTTGACAGATCTACGTGCTGTTTGTTTATCTCCGTGCAAACGTAATAACGACTTTTTATCGTAATAACGAGATAAAAAGTCGTTATTACGACTTAAGAAAGTCGTAAAAACGAGATAATAAGTCGTTATTACGACTTAAGAAAGTCGTTACTACGAGATAAAAAGTCGTAATAACGAGATAAAAAGTCGTTATTACGACTTAATTTTTTTTTTCTTATTTCTAATTTGACCCTTGTAGGCTTTCGTAAATATGTACATATATGGTCAGTATCTTTCTTTTAGATGTGTTTCACAATATTATACAATCCTTCACCAGGCACATTGGTAAAGTATAAGTCACATTATCCAGCGATGAGGTAAACGATGAAAAACCGATGAGTTTTTTGATGAAAATGGCATGAATGCCGGCCGGACACCACTAGTGATCGGACGGTGACTGAGGCCATTTTGCGAAGTGTGTAGGGGGGGGGGGGGGTTAAACCTACGCCCTAATGTACGATGTCTATAATATGTCTATTTTTGCAAAAAAAAGTGGGGGCTAAGACTCCCTACCCCCACCCCCTCCGGTTCCGACGCCTATGAATGGCATGTATAAAACGATCATATTTTTACCAACTTCATTGTGTTTTACGTATTCAAACACCCATGCAGAAATAATTTTTTTACCACATATCTTAAGCGGTTGGTGGTTAGGACATTCCTCGAGGTAACACTAACGTGCATTTTAATTCCTTTAAAACAAACAAATAGCAAAAAAAAAAAAAAGTAAAAGAAAAAAATGATTTTTTTAAACTTGATCGTATTAAATAAAAAGCCAAGCCAGTTAACATATATTGTCTTTACTTTTCATATCTCAATTACTTTTTTTTTCCTTCCGACGATTAAAAAAAATATCATTTTCATTAATTACACGTGCTTGGCTTTTTTGGTATTAAAGGGAATAAACCATATTCATATATATTCTATGTTTTCATGTTTATTTCATTAAAGAATAAATCACATCATCATGAAATACATGTACTGTACCTACATGTAAGTATGAATATTAATTAAGAAGAAAATAAACCATATACGTAACATTGTTCAACAGTGAATCATATACATATTTCAGATGGAATATATACCATATTATCATGAAATTTCATCAATAATATCTAATTATGAAAGAAAAATCTTTAATTATTAGGAATGGAAGCCGTGTTTGAGTCTTGACTTGGTGAAATATCAACACGTGTAATATCATTTAAACAGAGAATTTAATTCCGTAAAATATAATTATCAATATTTGTTCTTTACTTTTATCGAATTCTGAAATAAAAAAAAATCAATTAATTAATTCTTTGACATTGTCTTTCTTTAAATGTTAGTCTTTCGTAATCCCGGTCTTAAATTGTTTATCTCCTAACCATGCTCTTTACCTGTCTTTACGGGTTTGCGTGCACACATTGAAGCGAGAGATTCACACCTGGCATGCACTAAATAAACAAAAGGAATCGAGTTGTAGATAACCGATTTGTATACATAAGATAAACAAAGCCTTATAATGCGACCAAAGTCATATGTATCAGAAAGAGTATCATCAGGCTATTTATTCATCTATTTTTTTAAAATTGGTAAGAACAAAACATTGTGCGACGCACGAAAATACATGTAGAATGTCGCTGCGTCATGCTAAAACCTCAAGAAAAAAAAACCTACTACTGCCATGACTCAATGTGGAATGAAATCTGGACAGATACCGCGATTCAAAGATTGAACTCATGGCCGGAACTTATATTACAGTAAAATCCGGAACCAATATTATGATTTTTAAGGTTCCGGCCGGAACGCGAAACACCTGGAACGAATATTATGCGACACCGGCAACCACTCCATTTTTATCATAAAACGCATTGGTTGCCCATCGTATATCCATCGCTAGATAATGTGACTGATACTTTAAGGACTACTGGGCCGATGTGGACCGATGTTGTGGCATCGTTAACACCACGGATTACTACCGATTACCACCGGTCTACGGCTACCGGCCGGGAAATGTGACCTAGGCATAAGAAAGGAAGAAAACTGTTTCAAGAACTTGTTCAACATCAGAGCATGGCATTTGCATATAAGCTATACATTTTTACTTTTTCTGAAAGACATTTTCGAACCCTTAAGCTCGACACAAGATGCATTAATCAAAAGCACTAGATTCACACATTTTCTCTATATATGCATAACAACAAAACATTTAATATTCTCTAGTCCTATGTAGTGTGGTTCTTATCGTAGCAAACGCCTATCTAATTTAATACTCCAATTGTAAGTCATGAATAATGACAGAATAAGATAATGGCCACACGGTTCACATAGGTAAATGGAGTCTCTTTTAAGGTCTTAAGGTTACCTTAACCTTAAGGTAAGGTTTCCTCTTTAATTCATAAAGTTTCAATCCAGTTTATATTCTTGTACGAAATATAATTTTTGTTCTGACGGTCTTAGAATAAAAATAACTTCGAGAATGATAAAACTCAAAGTAAAATAATTTTTGATTTGAAAAAAAAAAACTTTAAATCTGATATGCTTTCATATACATGCATAAGAACAATATATTTTTTATTACTGAAAGATGCTGTCTCAGATCATTTATTGAGACTGATACGAAAATGAAAAGCATAGTCTTCAATCACGAGTTTTTGTTGATGATCATACAGGACATTATGTTCCTAAATGCAATAGAATAAACTTTGATGTAGCATTCGCAAGTTAATCTAATTTTTGATGATAATACACTTTTTAAAAGATCCTTATATGAGAGATATTCTAAATAAAGTTCTCATAGGCCTAAGTATAACAAAATTATTTGGGAAGACTGCAAATGTTTTCAGAAAGTACTTACCCGTCGTTACACTAAGTAACATACATGTAACTAAATTATCACAGAGCCAGAGAGAACAACTCTCTTTTAGAGTATTAAATTACAATTGCTTTTATTTCATTTTCATGGGGATATGTTACTTTCCTATGTAAAAACTTACACAAAGAATAATATGTATCTATTTCTGAAGTTATCGAAAACTCATTCGTGTATGTTCAAAACCAAGAATGTGACATTAGGTCTATGTTACAGTCACGTATTAAAAGATTGAGGGGCAGTATGGAAACTATCTATTCTTCCGTATTCAACAATCCAGAGTGAAAAAAGAATTAGATACATTACCTGATCAGTACGTGCTGGTCCCTGCTGACAAAGCAGGTAACACTATTTTCTTTTGTAGGGCTCATTTTATAAATTGTAGTTTAGAAAAACTTGGATTTAATTCCACAAGTGGTAATCCAACGTATACTCATAGTTTCCTTTTTAAGGAAAAGATTATTCAAAATCATATGTCAGTTTTTAAAATCCCAAAGAACCAAAATGAATTTGAACTATACCAGATCTACATCTGATTCCAAATCCTTAAAATCCGTACAAACAAAGATGCATAGTAGGTTCTAGTAAGTATTCAATTAAGCCTCTATCCCTGCTCCTCACTAAGTGAAGGAGAAACTTCGGGAGTACTGTGCAACGATATATTCAAGAAGTAGTGTAAATTAAATGTGGATACTTAAAAATTCCGAGGAACTTTTGGATAATTTGAAATCGCAAGATTTTACCAAAATCAACAGCTTAAAATCTTACGACTTTTCAACTTTATATACAACCATTCCCCACGATAAATTAAAAGTCCAGGCTTTTTGAAATCATGGACAGCTGCTTTTTCAAATCATTGACAGCTGCATAAAAATGGAACTCGTAAATTTACAAATCTTGTCATTGCATGGTCAATTGCAAAGTTATTTTGTTAAAAACATCTTGATTCTACAAACAAGTACTCTGAAGTTGATATCAAAAAGATGCTTGACTTTCTGTTTCATATTTGGTTATTTTACTTGAAAAAGACGTAAATGGTAATGTATCAACCAAGCTCTGCGATAAAAGTGATGACTTTAATTTTACAATCGTCAACTTCCCTTAATTATGCAGCAATATACCTTCATCACCTGCCTACGGAGATCATATATCACAATTGATTCGATACGCAAGTGTATGCTCTATGTATAAACAATTTATAAAAGGAGGTAATTAAATTATTGACAAACAAGTTGATGAAACAATATCACAGTCTCGGTTAAAGTAATCATTTCGTATGTTCTATGGTCGATACAATGACCTATTTGGCAAATACATTTTATCATTGAGTCAAATACTGACTGACTTTTTCATCCTAATTGTTAGTCCATTATTTATACACTGAATTGAAGACGGATTTCTCCGTTATTACCCGATCATGATAAGGACCACACGGCGGGTGTGATTAATTGGCAGGGAGTACTCACTCTTGCATGACAACTGATCCCACCTCTGATGTTTTGGAGGTCTGTGTTTGCTCTCCTCCTATTTAGTTTTGTTTTACGGACTTTTGATCTTGAATACAATTCGTTATCTCCATATGTTTCATTTTTAGGAAAAATATAGTTAATTAATTAATGTTACTGGTTTTTTTTTGTAAAAAACTTAACCGGGATACATCCATAGTGATGATTGAAAATAAGTAGCTGTTAATTACAATACATAGTTGATCTATCTTAATCTCAAATTGAAGATTAAATTTCACATTTCTAAAGAATAAATGTAAATTGCTATCGTGCCTGATATATTTATCCTTGCATTATATTTTCAGATGCACTTGACTGTCTGTCACAGTGGAACACATATAATTTAAGGGGAAATGGTTGCTGCTCAAATTAGATGTAGGTTTGATGTTTTAGAAACTTTATAGACTAGAATGCGCTATTCATTAAATTTCATTTGTTTTTATATTTATCATCTTTTTCCATAGTTGAGAAATTTAAGTATGCTTACATTTATCATTAAGGTTCATAAACCCTCTGCTCACTCATATGAAATTTTTCTTAAACTTTTATGATTTTCAAAAGGAAATATATATGTTGAATAAAATTAATACAAACAATTAAAGCATGGCTTGCTGGGCAAAATTTGGCGAAAAATTCACTTAAACTTGACAAGTTTATAAAGGATTAATAGACATTTGTGTCATTAAGAGTTATCTCTCCTATCAGAGTATCAATATGTACCTTAACATGTTCATTATTCTTTAATATTATATAACTTTGTGAAATCCGGTAATCTGATTGGTCAATACGAAGTACTTATTTTTTAATAACGACCGCTGAAAGCGAATAATGACTCGCACGAGCTGCCTCGTTTTCACTTTCGCTTTAGACAAACATGGAAATTCGCAAGTTGTAGGTGAGGAAAATTTAAAACATATAGTGAAGAACTCTGAGACTGATAATACAAAACAATTACTAGGATATTTGTGAATATTTTTCGGAAATAATTAGCACATACCATTTCATGACCTTTCCACTTAGCCAGCAGAGTTTCGACGCTGTTTACGCGATTACGGAGACTAAAGAAAATATAGACAAGCATACCATGTAAAATTGTATCTATTCTTAGAAGACATAGGTATTTATATTTTGTCAGTGCATTTCGTCTGCAAGTGTAAACGAGAGCGATTATCAATCTGGGGGAGGGGATACTCTGTGTTATTCGGAGATAGATAGCTTGCGTCATTATTATGATATGGGAAATTTATTGCCAAAACAATTTCCTCTGAGTAATATTCAATGAATTCTGAAACATTTACATTCAACTTATTTATGGTTAATACTATCTCTGTAAATAATAGGATGATATACATTGCACTAATAAATTTGGGAAATTATTATTTATATAATATAATAAATACGGACTCAATGCACGGTCAATATGCATTTATAATGACCCAGGATGACATATATTGACCTCAGATACATGAAGTATATCGACCTCGGGCTAGCGCCCTCGGTCGATATACTACATGTATCTTCGGTCAATATCTGTCATCCTGGGTCATTATAAATGCATATTGACCTACATTGAGTCCATATTTGTATATTAACTTCTTTCATCAGTAACTTAACTGTCAAGATAGCTCAGCTGGTAGGGCACTCACTCCGTGTTGAAGATCGTGGGTTCAGACGCCTCGACTGACCTAAATCGATTAAAGAAATACCAGTACATAGCAAATATTCATTCACAAAGCACTTGGCGCTTTAAACTGAAAGTAACGGGTCTATCAGACCTTAAAATCAAGACCCCATGTCACGGTAGGCGTCGACACGATAAAGATTCCTCGCTGCTAAGTTGCCATGATTGTCGAGTAAGGCTCTAAAACTGAAGCTATTCAGCGGTAGATGGTTACATCTCTATATGAATAAAAAAATCTTGAACGAAACCTAAACAACATAATTTAATCAATCATGATCAATCAATCATAAATAATACTTCTACTTGTTTAAAGTGCTACGTGTAAAATCAGTCTGATAATAAGCTGTTTCGCAAAGATTTAATATTATAACTATAGATGTTGTCGTTTAATGAAACATTTATATCTGTTGCTGAATTATATGATGTATTTTAATTTTTTACAGGGTTTTTTCTATGGTGGATTATTGGGGGTAATTCATTTAAAGTAAATCATACATGTTACGCAAAGTATCATGGTTGGATATCACTATAAAATATTACGACAAAAAATAATTGATTTTTTATGTTAAGACATACTATTTGCAACACTTTATTTCTTATCTATTGTACACCTCAGCTTCATTTTTCTACTTCTCTAGAGATAAATTGTTTCGTTTCCAATAATATGAAGTATCAACCGCTTGAAAACAAATTACTTTTCAAAGTATTACACAACAATTCCCAACAAGAAATTAAAGTTAAGGCCTTTTGAATCATATATTTGTATACTTACCTTTTCTCTGGCCATTTCCAAAATTATTTTGTTAAAACATTTTTATCGTACACATAAGTACTATGAAGTTGATATCAAAAGGATGCTTGTGTTACTGAATGACAATATCCATGTGGTGTTTGTGGACCAGGTCTTCCAACTATCTATTGGATAGCCCATGGGTACCAATTGTGCCCCTTATAAACAGTCCTAATTTAGTATTCGTGTGAAGCAACATTTGTCCAAAATTTTATACATGAAAAGAAAAAACACTTGCTGTGGCCTTTCACTCGACATTTAGATATATTGATGGACTTTTGAGCTTAAATATTGTTTCGTTATCTCCATAATTTCACGTATAAGATTACAGTAGCGGAGAGTTATCGATTTAAAAAAAAATATTTAAAAAAAAAAATACATATAATGTGAAGAAGGCATAAAACACAGACCTCTAGGATTTCAATAATTGTCGGATATATTGAAACCAATGCTAGGTTTTAAAAAAATGAGTCAAATTGGTCAATCATTGGTTGTGAACGGTAACCTTCAAACCATGACAGGACCTCCAGAAATCAAATTGATAGGAAAAGTATAACTCAAACTATTTGCTATTAATAACAATATACATTAATATACGTTGATTTAAAACCAATTTACTACATTTTTTTTTTATATTTTAATAATTTTTTTTGCAACTTGTTTTCTTTCCGATCGCTATAAATATATTTTTTTAACAGTTGTAATTTCTGTCAACCGACTTTGTTTTCGTTGCAATGGAGTTTCGAGCATGCGTTTGTGCAACACGACGGCAACCTGTGGAGACAATGAGGTACTTTTTCAATTTTACCAACTGATCTGTTGCGAAAAAAGGAATAAGTACACATATTTGTTAAATAATCAATAAGTAAATTGTTTTATAATAAAATAAAGGCCTTACATGCAAAGGTAATAAAACGATTATATTTTAAAACATGCATATAAAGTGACGTAGGTCTAGATTATATTCTTTTATTATATTATATTCTTTTATTCTATTGTTGTCCTTATCGAAATGTATGCAAAGTTACAAATAGATTTCAATATTTTTGAAATGGGAGCAAGTATATTTTGTACTTTAAATGTAACATTCACAACACTTACCTGGAATGTTAAGGGGCGCATTCATCTGTTTATCATTACAGTTATAATTCAGCATAATTTGGATATTGATATACAATACGAAAAAATTCAACATACAATTACTTATATTACGCCTGATTTTTAGGAATGCTACCTCGAAAGAGTCACCAAATCAGATCTGCAAGTAATCTTTTCTGCCGGTTGTAGAAGTAAAACGGTAAGGCTGATTTTGCTTATTCTGTATTTTTTAGCAGATTGTTTTCTATCAGAAATATTTTAGATTTTTTTTAAAATACGTTACTTCTACTTTCATCTAAAGAGGGTCGTTCAATATGTAATGCAAATTGTCTTTAAAGCACAAACGCACAACATTTAACTTTGGCATTATTGGCGAGGATGCTGAAATCGCGAATATTGAATGCAGCTAAATTTAATTGCTTTTGATGTAAAATAGTTTCTTTAGTGAGCATTTCGAAATCGCTAAAAATAAATGACCAATTTTTAACCACAAATCGCTGATTTTGCGTCTCGCTAACATTTCTATATATACGTACAACAGTGTATTACTGAAAATAAGTTTTTCATTTTATTTCAAACTGTCATATAGGTTTGTCAAATTATGGCGACTTTAAGTGGAAATCCAAGACGGAGAGATTTAGTGAACTGTGCCCAATGTTGTGTCAACCCTCCTGGTGCTTCAGAACCTTGTAATTCAAGACTGTGTGGTCAGCAGCCTCTTGGTAAGGCGCATGCTTTTCACTTGTTCTAGAATTGGCATTTCCTTTGGGTTGAGCAAAAAAAGCAATGGTTTGTTATAGCGTTTGCCTTCATGTAAATGTGACTAGTTTTTTTTTTTAATTTGTTGACACTTAGTATCAAGAGAGTGAATAACATCGTCATTACAAAGTACAAATTCTTTAATGTAATGACCAGCGGTTGATATCGATGTACATAACCAAAAGTGTGCTTACTTTATCCCTCAACATTTGTTTTTGAAATAAAAATGAAAATTCGTTGGTAGTTTTAATTTCCAAGTTTCTCTTCATGTTACAAAAGCTAGGTGCACTGGGAAATGATTATTTGATTGATATTTTGTTTTTTACCCCCGTTCGAAAATTTTTCACTCATAAAGATGTCTTCATATACCAGTGAAGGAATTGATAACAACAGAATATGCATGATGCTTATCAATTTTTGATAGTTACAACCGTGTCACCTTCAGCTGTACCAGGACTGAAATGTATGAGTTGTCATCATGCACTTTCTGTTCACGAATGCAAGAAAACAACAGTGGATTGTCAGCATCATGAGGTGATTATAACTGCTTGCTTTGAACCAATCACACAGAAAGTTCATCAGAATGTAAGAAAAAATTATAGACGCTTGATTGACCTAGGAAATATTAACATATATACTTCTGTTTTACCTGAGAATGGAAATAAAGTTCGTTTGTTTCATCGATTCAAATCCGAAAAGGTCTATACTGTTTTCAATATAAATTTGATTTATGCAGAGTTTTATACACGTCAGATTTTTTTAGGAATGTTATTTTGAATCTGTTACTACATCAGATCGTAAGGTGAAGTTTAATGCTGGATGCCGAAGCAGAGCGGTATGTACACATATTCAGACATGAATGGTCATTCATTAAATTTCATAATTAAGCATTCACTTAGCTGAAGGAATGTGATTATATTATATCAAGGGAGACGACCGAATATCAATGAATAATTATTACATGGTTATATTGGATGATGTATGATTTAGGATTATACCTGGCATTCTGATATTACATTCTAGGTATGCAATTTGATGAGTTCACTTGGACCAAAGATTGGCAAAAGAGATTTGGTAAATTGTGCTGAATGTTGTAGCGGCCCTCCAGACCGTGAAGGACCTTGTAATACACGATTATGTGGTGAAAGTAAGAACTTAGAACATTATTTATTAGTTACTAAGTTCGTTCATTATATCAAACAGCAATCAATTAAACAATGAAAATCAACAAGCAAGTAGGATTTTTGTTGTCTGGTGGGGGTTGAGGGGGTGTGAATGCTCAATACATGGTTTACCGGTAGTCCAAAACATTATGGTTGATATTTTGGCAACGTTTAATTTTTCTATTTAGTTCCGTAGATTAAATACAAATCTATTTTTTGCCATTATAGGAAACATACAAATATTAAAGATAGAAACCCATTACAAGAACTCTTTTACCAACATTCAAAAAGCGTTGTTTATTTCTGTGATTTTTGTACATTTTTACCCTTGTGCTATCTCATCTATGCATGATTTTGTTTACTGGTAATTTTGAAAGTAACTTTAATCAATCCTTTGTACATATCCTAAATATACAGTGAAATAAACAATTATGGAGTGGTACCTATACTCGAAGTTTTATTTATTTTTTTAAGTCAAGTTTAAAATATATGTCTACTCTAGAAAATAAATAGGATGCACTGTATGGTTTTTTTCGTTCATCGTGTACATAATTTAATTGTGGTCTGTTACAACGCACTTTGAAAAATTGACGCACTTTGAAAAAAAAATTCTTTTGAAAGTGCTTTAATATCGACTATATTAACGCAATTTGAAAAAAAATTGTATTGCTTGGTCAATATTCGTTCAAATCTTAGGTATGATAAATAATTTAACCTGTTTGATAACTCTTTGGTGATGAGGTCACATTAGGACGTGAAAGTGAGCGATTTTGATTTATCTATGCTTTGAAAATTCTTTTCTCTCTTAAATGTTTTCCTGTTATTATTTTTTTCCAGTTTGCTTGCATTTTATATACACTAAAATTCATTGAAAGTTTTCAATGTCATACTTGTTATGCAAATACATTTATATGTGGGTGTAGCATCGGTACCGGAAGGGGGGGGGGGTGGACACACAAATGTTTTGCAAAGATATACATAGTATAGGCATTGAAAATTGGGCTTACCTTTGTGGGGGTCCACTTTCAATTTGCTACCGACGGCTATATACAATGTATAAGAAAAAAAAAGAGTTAAGCTGAGATACCCTCTACTTCTTGTTCTCAATGAGATTAGATGAGTACCTGTAAATTTAAAAGTTTTTCAATAGATATAATTATTACAAATTGATTCTCTCAATTACTTAAGTCTAAGTGTAGAATTTTTTGTTTTACGCATATTTTTTCAAAGTGCGAAAAATGTCCCCGTGGTAAAAAATGTATATGTACACTCTTTACGCACTTTGAAAAAAATTTCAAAGTGCGTAGAGTGTGTCCCAAAATTAACGCACTTTGAAAAAAAAATTTTCAAAGTGCGTTGATTTTGTCCCAAATTTAACGCACTCTGAATCTTTTTTTCAAAGTGCCTATTTTTTTTAAAGTGCGTTGCCACAGTGGTCTATCAACACGCGATTTTATCATTCCAGTAAATTAAGTTTAGCAGTAATTGTTATTCAGTATGTGCAAAAATACAGTGCTATAGTATTTGGTCAAGGATAACTCAATATTACTTAATTTGTTCAGTGATATTTTGTTAATGTTTCTATGGTTTATAAAATAAGAACAAATCTTACAGGCTCTGCTCCACGTTGCTTAGTATGTAATGGTCTACAGTCCTCTAGAGCCGATTGTCAGACCTCGGCTATTTGCCCTCAAAATCAGGTAAAAATAAAAAAAAAATGCAAAGTAGCAGCAATTATATTCTGCACCAAGAAATTCTAATATATAAAAAAATTATTCAAATAATTTCTTTATAGTGACAATGCTAGAAAAAAGACGAAAAATGATGATTTTACAAGTATGTTATAACAGTCCATTTGATGTTTAAAATGACATTTACTTAGGTTTCAGAGAACAGAAAGAAAATTTTATAAAGTATATGTAAGATCAAAAAAATGTTCTAAATAGATGAAATAACCAAGCTTTAACTCACTCAATATCAATTAAAAAAAAATTATTATATGAAGAAAATATACAGGAACAAAAATTAAAGTCATTGCATGGTAAGGCAGAGGGAATTTAGACTAAATATTTAATTTTTCATTTTTGTCATCCCCCCCACCCCATTTTTGCAATATTAATCACAATGTAAAGCTGACATGCATTTTTAGACATCATTTTTCAAATATTATATGTGTTCAAGCTCATAAATTAGTTCAAATAATTGAATGCAATGACATAAAGAAATTGAAAAATATGAACAAAAACCATTTCAGGCAACATATTTCAATAATTTGATGATTGACCCCATATCATGTTAATACCATGAGAATTAGGGCAACAAAAGTAACATGGGACTATAAATAATTTATGGTTCTTATCATTCAAATTTTTGTAATATTCAATTAAGCGATTAAAAATGGAAAAAATATAAATATGACAGATGAAATTCGGACTGTAATAATTATCAAGTTTAATTTATTACCCAAACTCTAATCTTTTCTTTATATGAAGCAACGCTGTTCCATTGCTATAATATTTTATTATTTAAAGAGTTTTCTTGCTTTTAATATTTTGTGGGTGAAGAAAAAAAAGTGGTCATAGTGTGAGAAATTGGGATATTTCCCGAGAAATACTCAGGGGTCACTAGCATGAAAAGTAGGTCATTGGCCTAGTTATTTGAAATTGAAATTTAACACAAGAATCATAGGTGTACAATGTGTAATAGGTGTTTTTTGTTGTTATCAGTGGAACTTTTAGTCATCTGAGTAAAGGTACACCTTAAAAATCTACAACTAAGCACATAAATTTATTTTTGCATAGACGTGTTACAATGGGGTACGTATTGTTGGTTCCTCGTCCCTTCAATACGTTTATGGCTGTGAAGAAGAGCAGGTTTGTTATTTATACGTTAGGCCTATATGTATCCTTGACAGATCTTCATTTTAAATTTGAGATACACTTTATCTTGTATCACAAAGTTAGACTAGTCAGAGAGAAATTAACCCTGCCAACCTTGTCATGTTTACAAGATCTTTTTAAGCAATTTTCTCGAAATAGAATTTGAATAGAAAAAGAATGCGATTTCTTAATTCAATGATTTAATGTATATTTTGATTTAAATATTATTTGATATAATGTTTTGAAAGCTGTTTTGTGTACTATTTAAAAGTTAAAGTAAACAGTTTTTTCTTCGCGCACTTTTGAAATCATCGCAATAATTTTACTTTTTGCATTGAAACCTGTCAAGATATATCAAGTAAAATGAGAATAGTCATTGATTAAATAAAATAAGCTCTTATTTAAACTTCTAAAACTTCTTAAACTTCATAAGAAATGTTACATAAAACTAAAAAAAACTTGATTCCTTGAATTCATTTAACCTTCATTTGGTGATATTTTTTTCATTATTTATATTATTTAGACTTGCCAAGCATTCGCTGAGAATTATCATCATTATCACAACAATCAGCATGTCGGTAGATCCGTCTCCAATGATGGCGGAGTAATCGTATGTGATTCTTGTTGTAAAGACGACATGTGTAACGCCCAGGATTGCTTTGCTTTATTGAAAAGTAAGACACGTACTCACTTATTCTGTGTATTTATGCTTTAGAAGAAACACCGATAAAAAATTGTCAAAATTTGAAGACTACTCAGTATTTAAAATGTAATTTACAGAAAAAATCAATGAGCTTGCTTTAAACGATTTAAAGGAAGATAAAGGTGATAATAATAATCTCTTACAAAGTATACTGTATACAGGGAAATTTTTGCCCCTGTTTTATTTTCGCACCTTTCGCCCTATTTACAGGTGAAGCATATAATTTCTTGTAAACAAAACTGTGATTGGGCGAATTTAAAACGGGGGAAAATTGTTTGCAAGAGTGAGAGGACGAAAATAACCCTGTATACACTATACAGTATTCATCAATAATTCAGACAGCATAACATTGTAATTTTTATTTTTTCTATTGGTAGACATGACAGTGAATATGTTTGATAACACACAAATGCAGACCGGTAATGTACTTGGATAATCTTTGTCTAATATTAATTAAAATAAAAGAAAAGATTTTCTGTAAAGAATATATTTTAGAGATAAGTGCATACAAAAGTTGGTGCTTGATATGACACTTAAAAGACAGAGTTAAAAGGTGCAGTGCTTTCTGTTTTGGAAATAAATGGACTAATTTCTTGCGAAAAATATATAATGGATATCGTTTTAAGCTTTCCTTTATTCGCTGGAGAGTTTTCATAGTTTTGACAAGGCTATCGCTATTAACTGGTATTTGAAGCAAAACTGAGAATAGATATTGTGTCTGTATACGTTCTTTGTTTGATACAACCATTGGAAGCTACATATATCTTCTTTTCACTCCTTGATTATGCTTGCCAAAAATATTTTTTTCCTCTGGAACTATCAGCTAATCTAAACCATTTTGAATGATATATTCTATCAATGAAGGAAAAAAAATATTTAAATGTCAATGTGCCTGCCATCTGGAGCTTGAAACAGCCTAAATCAGTCTATAAAATTTTATTTTTTTTCTTTACATCAAGCAATTGAATTGTTGTGATAATTATGATAATCAATAGGCTTTTCGCAAAAAAATTGAAATTCATAATCCTATAGGATTAGGGGTTTGGTTACCGGTTTCTTGAATTTGAAATAAGTGTTGGTAATATTTAATTTCATATATCTCACCAATCTCGCTATATCCTCAAAAATAATTCCCATTTGTACTATATCACACTCTTTGAATCCTTACAAGTGTAGTGTTATATTTTACTCAGGTGACAGTAAAATCCTCTTTCTCTAGTCTCACGTAGTCATATTGTAATACTTTCTTGCATTATGTTGTGCTTTAACATCATTTTATCGTGCATGTAGATAGCAAATATTTTGCCAGAATGTCATTCCAAGTAACTGAAAAAGTCAAGAGTTTAACGCTTCTACACGTTTACAAAACTCAAGGAACGATTTATTTTTTACAAAAAAAAGAAGAAAAAAACGCAAGCAAGGGGAAGAAAAAATCCTAATGTTATTTTATCATATATCTTAATCACTCTTCTGCAGCTGTATATACAACTTCAATAAAAGTATGTCTTTTAAAATTCAGACAGCAGTGCAATTTGGTAGACATTTAAAGATAAGTACACTAAGTGTAATTAAAATCTGTTGAAAAAATGCAATGCTATTTTGTGTTGTGTTCTGTCTTTGTAGACGTGTAAAATTCAGCATGGCCTCCTACAAAGTGTACATTACATCATAATACGTTCAAAACAATAGACCATTGATTCTTAACTGAAATGATTCATATGAAAGATAAGAAAACCCACATCTTATTTCTCTGTATATACTGAGCATTGTGAGAGACAGCTATTGGATAAAATATGATTGTTTTTGAAAGTTTTGAGATAGAAACAACTTAAAGGTATACGAGATATAACAAGATATGACAAGGCATAAAGAAAGGCAAACTCATTCCGATGCAAGATGTACAATTTAAGTGAAAGTTCAACTTCTCTTAAAGGACTTTTACGAGAAGCACCGACTTTTACAGTAGACGGTTTACTTAGACATTTAAACTTGTATCATGTCCGGAGGAACAGAATTGATCATACATAAGAAACCTTTCTAATAGTCAAAGGTATGGTGTTAGAGGCATTTACATGTAAAAGGCAGGCGTTTAGGGTAGGCTGGTTGTCATTTTCTTCAAGCACAACTTCTATGTGCATTGAAATAAACCATTATTTTCGTTTAATTAAATTTTGAGCTAAATATTTATATATCTTAAAAGAGTTTCCGTACATTGTCGTAGTGTAAAAGCAAGCCGTCAACTGTAAAAGTCAGCGCTCCTCGTGGAAGTCCAGTTATAATACTGTTAGATGAATTTTGATACAGTAAACGATGGGTTACTGTGGTAAACTATAGTCTAAGAAATTTTTACTCTTGTAAATTAATGTGTGAAGGTTTATATTTTTAACAATTTTTCGATTCTGCCTTTTATGAAAAGAATTCCATATCTAAGGATATTATTTAAATAATACACATAGTTGTCTTCTTAATCTTAAATCTACAACTGTTGAATCTTATTATTATTAATTCCAATTTTCATACCTGTATGTGATCCTTAAATGAAAATATATATTACTGTTGAAAGAATTTTTTTTTAAAAATACGAAATGTTGGTTTGTAGCCTTAGAAATATAAACAAAGCGTAGGATAAAAACAAGTAAATATTCAAAGACATTCCAAATATCATACGAAATCATCAAATGATCATATTTATTAGGTTTTTTTTTCATAATGAATCCCTGAAATATCTTGTTACGTGAAAAAAAATTCATACCTATATACCACCTATAAATGTTACTCGCTGTTTTAATTGAAAAAAATACCTATTTGTCGTTTAAAATGAATTATTGTAAGCTATGTTTATGACTTTTGACCGAAACACGTCTTCCATATTGTGTAAAGTGTTCTTGTATGTTTAGTCTTTGATTATGGCATCATACAGTATTGCCTTTGACAAAGCAGATAGACTAAGTGCCCAAAATACATTAAGGTTGTATTGCATAATTAATACTTTGTCTATACCTCTAGCCGATGCTCATGCATAGGAAATATCGGTGTACTTAAAACACATCCAAAATTGTTTTATTCTTTCTTCCACTAGAAGTAAATTGATCTGGGTTTGTGTTTTGTCTGTTTATTATTTTGATTCAGATGATAGGATAAACCACGTGTTAAAACTTGTATCAGGCAGCATCTTAACTGCAATAGAGCTGTCTGATATACCATTCAGCTTTATGCGTTCAAAACAGTGGGAATAGGTGAATGATAGCAACACTTTAAAACGACAGCAATAATGATTGGATTCATATTCGTAGGGTAGGTTTATTTACTTCAGATTTATGAATAATTTTGATTTAATTTACGTTGATTTACCCTTTTTATTACATGAAAAAAGTTAAATTTGATCAATCATTTGCATTAATTTCTTGTTCATATTTTTCTTAAACTTCTTTTTTCTATTTCAGTGTAAATCATACTTATGGACTTTTGGACTTTATTATAGATTTCTTAGTAACTAAAAATGAAACAGATTACAATAAAGAAATAAAACTGGATGTGCCTATTTATTTACACTCGGATCATTTTATTCTTGTTGTTATAATAACAGTGCTTGGAATTATTGGAAATGTACTCACACTCGTGAAGATTACATGGAACAAGAAGTTCCAAGGTACTGTATTTGTTGTTATAAGAACTATTATATTCACAGATGTCGTGAATTTGATTCTTTACCTCGTTCATGCCGCAGTTAAGTTTGGGAACTTCCGTCTTGAAAAAGTTCCATGTGCAACATTTTTGGTAGCTTTTTATGGCGTTACTCACACTTTTGCTGCTCACGTGGTTTTCTTGTTTGGACTTAGATGTTACATGGTGTCGGAACCGATAAAATTCAATCAGTTACGTAAGCGAAACATTATCGTATCATCAGCTGCTATATGGATCGTAAGCATATTATTTTCAACATTATATTTTGTGCTACGATACAAATCAGGAATACAAACACCTATTTCTGTGATAATAACCTTTCGTCTTTACCTTATTATTGTTCCTGTCCTGCTGATTATTATATTTCATGTAAAGAAGATACATCGTCTAAAGCGCACAATATGCAAGCACCAAATCGAACACAACATTATCAAGATGTCTCTTGTGACGTCATTAATTCTAATTGTGTACATGTCATCAGCTATTCTTTTCCTTGTGTGCTACATCTTATCATTATATAGGTTTGAGGAGACAGAGAAAGAGTTTCTTGTAATCGCACAACTGGCTTGGTTACTTAATGCAGTGATGAGCCCGTTCATTTATGTTGTCTCGACGTTGTGTTTTCATAAATGTTTTAAATACTGGAAAACAGTTATACGCCGCCCGATGGCATTTACTCAAGTAAACTGAAGAAAGGATAATATATCTATCACCTGTGACTGAATCCTATTCTTTTTGAACGAATATAACCTTTAAAAAGACCAAAATAAGCATTTTTAAAAACTATTTTTCATAATCCCGGTACGTTAAACAAAATGGATAGATGGATATAATATGTAACGTAGTATGCCAAATTTGGTGTCATTTGCGGTACTCGTTGAACAATGTATCGGTACAGGGTACAGTGACAACATACTAGTATGTAGAAGTTATAAAACTGAGCGGAATTGAGATAAAGTCTTCGATCTAGTTTTCCCCTGATAATCTTGCAGTTACAGTGTATGCATACATTATAGTCTTTCTGTTCTCACAATAAAAAAGATTTCTGGGATGTATGTACCTAAATAAACATTGTAGATATTTATTGAGGAATAAAAAATATAGTTGAATTGTGATCATTTAATTTTGGCATCATTAACGAGGGTGTTAATATCGCTAAAAATAATGATTGCGTATTATTTGTAATAGCTTATTAAATGAGCTATTAATATGAGAATAAATACATGAAGTATTCCTTGCTATTTTGAACTTAATATTATCGGGGTTAATGCGCCATCATGATAGATTATCATCAAATCTCCTTAAAATAACATTATTTCTCGTATAAACATCAAATTGACCACATCAACGGGTATCAAAACTATAAAATATATGCAGTAAAGCATTCTTAAGACCCTGACTGATGGTTTTATAGGCATCAGGTGATAATTCATGCAGATTTTAGAATCTTTTAATGATCTCCGTTGCCAAATCTTCTCAAGTATGGCCGCATATAAAAAGTATATGTGATATAGAATTTTTAAAAAATTGCCTTTTCCCGTGGTGAGCAGGAAAGTGAATAACAGATTAACTCGCTAGCTTCTGGAGAAAAACCATTTATTGAACTGGAGTCCTACTGATTTAATAAAATGAGAATTTATCAAGTGCATAGTATATTCTAGTAATACCATAAAATAAATATCAACGCAAAAGAGATATTCCACTTAAGTGTCCTAGTTACGAAGAATTTAAAAAAAAAAACAATTAAAACTAAATGTGGATCTTAAAAGTAGAAAATTTAAAAAAAAAAAAAAAAAGAAAAAAGAAAAAAAGAAAAAAAAAATTAAAATGAAGTTTAGCGCAATCAAAAATTTGTTTATTTGTTTTTTACTCTTAGAAAAATGATAAATAGCTTTATTGTGGTAGGTTCATTTTCAAGTTAGAAAAATTTGATTAGCTTAGCACATGTACGAGAATCGATAAAATAAAATGTCTGTTTCAAACACGATTGAACAGGACATATCACTCTTAAGCTTACTCATAAAAATGCTGGCAGTGCAAACAACACTGATAAAAAGGATTCTTCTAAAATCAGTCGTATTATACAGGATCCCATATTTTGACCATCTTTGGTCAGAGTTTGGATCTCTGATTGACCAGAGTTGACCCTGAACTTTGATATACAAGACTTGAAACCTTAAAAAAATTAAAAATTGTATTCAGTTCTTTTTTTGTTAAGTCAGTGCTTATCAATGATGATGGTCAAAATCGAGTTTTCAGGTCACTAAAACTCAGCTTGTTTTTCATTATGTAAGTTCTCTTGACAATTGCAGATTTTACCACAGAGTTAAGACGAATTAGAAATACGTGATACTGGATTTTGTCTAATAAGCTGAACGATGGTCTCCTATTATAATAATATACATATACTCTGACTTTATTTGGCCGGACAACATGTAACTTTCTGAATCGCAATCATGTTTAAAATTGTTTTCAAAGTCAGCAAGTCAATCCTGACACAAGTAACTTCATCTCTTACATTTAATAATGATTGTCTAGCTCCTTCTACTAAGTTTCTATACTAGTAACAGTATCATTTCTTGCAGAGCAAGATATAGAAATTGCAGGTCCTGTAAATCTGAACTCAATTACATGTAACACTCACTAAGTGAAATACGAGGGGTGATCAAAAAGTTCGTGAACTATCTCTATATCTACAAAATCACAATTTAGATTAGAATGAAATTCGGTACACACATAGCCACACACAAGTTCTATAAATATCATATGCTGAATAAAGTTTTTCACCTTGTTTGTGACGTCAAAATCTGAAAATGACGTCACTATGTAGGTCACTTGTGACGAAAAATGGTTGTCTCAGTCGAACTCGTTCAACAAACGACTTTACTATTTATTGTATATCTTAGAAATCCCTCAACAGTATCATATAATAATTTGTACACATTTTATTGAGATAAATGAGTTCATATAAATTCAATTAATGATTTGATTGATCGTTTTAGTGAAGGAAGGCTGATGGTTTAAAATGATACTTGTCATCAGTGAAAGCAAGTTTGAAAAGATATGTACTTTTAATTAAGTAATTTGCTACCAAAGACTTCAAATTAACACTTTGAAAACTAGTTGAATATTTGAATAATAATATACAGTATTAAATACCTAAGATATCGTTTACTTTAGATTTTAAATATTTTGGATATGATAAAAAGGAGGCACCAATTCTCTATCCACTTTGAATAAAGGTCTCTCCCGAGACAGAAGATTTGTGTTTTAATGGTCGTCATGCTGATTTTTGGAAATTATATTCTTATCCACCCATTCTGTTGCCGAGATATGACCATTTCTGACAAATGAACTGTCCTTGTCATAAAAATTAACTCATATGGCAAGAAATATAAAACTCGGAAAAATCTTTCAACTTTTGTGACAGGACGCTATGGAGGGGGTCACGTGACCGCCAATATTACGTGATTTACGCATGCGCAAAACTGTTGTTGATGTGCATTAAAATCGGGGAGGATTTATTTCAAATATAAACAACATTAAAACCAAATATTGTTTCCTTTTTGGAAGTTATTCAGTTAGTTCGCAAACATTTTAATCACCCCTCATATAAATGATTAATTTTGAAGTGAAAACATGGAATTTTTGATAGTATCAAATGTTTACCGACGTTTTTCATAAAGTCAAATTGTTTGACATTTTGTAACACTAAACTGTCAACGGACTATTTTATTTATCCGATCATAACCATGTCACACGGCGGATGGGGTCGTTCGACAGGGGATGCTTGCTTCTCCGTGACTTCTGATTCTACTTCTGATATTTAAGGCGTGTGTATGTATGGTACGTGTTGACTTTGTTCAAATTTGAATTGTTTGCTTCATAACTGTATGTTTTACTAGTATCTTTGGCACGCAAAATTCACAAAAATGAGCTTAACCTAATTTCACAATTGATAAACTAGGTTTATCGACTGTAAAGTATATTTTACAAATCGTTAACTATAGTTTACAATTCGTTAAGTGAAGTTTCCATCTTTAAAACTTTATTTAACGGTTGTTAACTATAGTTTACGAATGCTAATCTAGGATTATCTGTCTGTTATAAGTGTTAACAATAGATTTTGTTGATAAGCATAGATTCACGTCTGTAAACTATAGTTTACAACCGTAAACTATAGTTAAAAGTTGTTAATCATAGTTTCACAAATCATGACACTATATTTATCAGATCTTTAACTATAGTTAACGGTTTGTAAACTATAGTTAACAAATCGTGAAACTGTATTTATCAGATAATCTATTTTTTGCAATCGTAAATAATTGTTTTCGGTGTTAAGTATAGTTCTACGGTTGTGAACCACAGATTATCGAGTTAATTATGGTTTACATATGTAACATATAGATTCACGTTGTTAACTATAGTTTACAGTACATAAACTAACAACCGATAAACCTAGTTTATCGACTGTGAAACTATGTTAAGCTCATTTTTGTGAATTTGGCGTGCCATAAGTATCTGCATATCTAATATACAAATTTTGATTGCATAAACTTTGAAATTTAAGCTCAATCGTCAATTGATGGTTATTTTTTCTTCTAAATCGCTGATAATTGATAAAGGAATATTATCATACATATAAATAAATGACTTATGAAACTGGAATATTCAAGTCAAAATACTGAATGAAGAAACATCCTCAAAAGAAATTGGAAATTCAATACAGTTATCAAAATCTTCAAATAACTTTTTAAACACTATATGTTTCTTGATCTATTTTGGATTTTTGAAAAATAATAAGCTTTACCGACTGATAATCTAAGATCTTTTTTGTATACACATTCGTTTGTAGAGTTGGCAATCAAATACATGTACAGAATTGCCAATCAATTAACAACAAAATATTTCCAACAGATTAACTGGTTAATATTATAAAAAATACATCTTTAAAAAAGCCATCAAAATAAAACAAACAAACAAACAAACCGTCAAGCTCTATCTATCTAACCAAAAGACTATAACAGACGTTTCTAATCTTACTTTTATGATTGATCTAATTACAATTTAATAATATATGTCTAAACTTATACATGTATTAGACATTTCATTATAATTACAGCCGTGCCTATGCTATTAATTTACAATTTTTACATAATGTTATTTGATGAATAGTCTGCAAAGGATAGACACGGGAAGGAGTTAGAACATTAGATTTGGTTCACACAGTGCTATGCGTTGACTTCATTAATAATTATCATTAAAGAAATATACCATCGACTTTGAAATAAGGGGTGCTTGAACAGACCAATTAACTCCATGATCTCAGTTCAGAGAGCAGTTATTAAATATATTGGCAAAGTGTTAATGAAAGTGTTTGACGGGATTAACATTGAACATTTCTTGTTTAATATTAAGGCAGGGAGTCCTCTTATGTTTGCAATCCAAAATAACACTGGTGCGTATGTTCAGTTTTGGTGAGGATGTTACAATTAGCACTTATAATCTAAGTATAACAATGTATAAATTTACAATGTTCATGGGTTTTTTTAAAAAAAGAAAATAAATATTTTTAGGAGAGAAAAAGGTTTGAAACATAATTTTATGCCCCCGTAAACAAAGTTTATGGGGTATATAGTTTTTGTCGTGTCCGTCTGTATGTCTGTATGTCTCTCTGTTCGCCTGTTTGCTCGCAAAAACTTTAACCTTGTCCATAACTTTTGATTAAGTGGAGCTATGACTTACATATTTCACATGTCTATTTCTTGTGACAAGAGATTTCTTTGAGTACCACCTTTTGACCTCCACCTACGAGATTGATCCACTTTAACACATTTGAACACAAGGACATTTATACTTCAAATATGTATTTTTTGTTGCAAGACCTTTCATTGGATACCAACGACCTTGACCTTAGAGATTTCTATATTTGAAAAAAAACTTGAATCTTGGCCATAACTTTTGAACGGTA